TCTTCAATCCCAGTGATCACTTCAACTGGAAAGGATGTGATGAATTATCCGTTTTTCAAAAGGTGCATCCAACAGACTGCGGAATTGCTGGTGACACTCGATCCGAGGTTTGAAGAAACTCTGAAGGTAGCGACTTTTTCTTCAGGATGGTGGCTGTCGCAGCGTATTTAGGCTGGGGAGGAGATGAGAGCTTTTTGCTTTTCCGCTGCTTCCCATTGTCGTGTCGAGGCATCAAGGAGAGATTTCTAAAAATTTGCAAAGTCATAAAGTGATACCAGTCAAAGTTTATTGGAGCAATAACCACGATAACGGGAAGCAGCTTAAGTGCAAAATGCACCCCTCTAGCCGAACCGCGCCGTGATGGTGGTTCTATAGTCGTTTCCTTGTTGACAGGTCTACGAGGTGTTGCTGGCGTTCTGCTCTCTTCCACAACTCTGCTCGCCAGTCTGCTCTGCTATTCTGAGTTGTCCTCCAACTGAAGTTCGCCTCACTACGCCTCTCCTTGCTATTGCTGCCACTGTTTCCATACCCATAGAAGATGCAGTGCAACCCGAAGTTCCTCTGAAAGCTCTTCGATTACTTACATTCCTAGTGAAGGTGAGTACAGTATCTTCCAAAAGACTTTCTTTCGATTTTGTTCGTTGTATTACATCGTTCCTTCTTGTTCGCTGCGGATGTTGGGGCATGCTAGGGGTGGCCGGGTTCGGCGCAGTCCCCCTCCCCCTTCTTCACCAGTTATTACCTTGGGCAAGCGGTAACAATGGCGCCTCGCTAAACGCAGCTCCCCTGGACAGGGCACGTCGTTTCTGATGGAGTCCCAACGAGTGGGATCATATTTGGTGGGAGGAGCGGGTAAGGTCGTGATTGCATTTGAGAAAATGTTTCCCTTTGTAGATTTCTCCAAGTTTTTTTCCACTTCGGTGGACCGCCACCTTCCCCCCTTTCAGGTATGAAGCAGTTTTCGAGGAGAAAGAGTGAAATATGGAAAGTGTAGTATAGAAATGGTGGACGCCGTAAATGGAGGGGCGAAAAAGGCTGGAAGTTCGGAGAACAGTTTGTATTTTCCCAAAAATCCCCCCCCCAACGGCAGACCTACTTGCCTCTTACACGGACCTCCACAAGGCGCCGCCTGTGTTAGTTTTCTTAGTTCCTTGAAGTTAGAAAGCTGAACTTTGTCAGGACAAAACTCTGACGCTGTTGTGAACTATAGGTGATTCAATAAGTCCTATGATCAAATGATTGTCATTTGTTAGATACAGCGTGAAAGACTTCAAGGCGAGACATCGAAGCAGAGATTGTATATCAGTGTAGACTTATCACAGAGGGGCTCCGACTAGCAGAAGGTCCGCATTCCTTGTTTTGTTTCTCTTTTCTTCAATCATGCTTCATTTTCGGAATGTACTATCAGTAATTGCAGTGTTGCATGCTGAGCGAGATCCTTAGAAAGCGGGCTGTTGTAAGGTACAAACTGCAGCTTTATGTTGTCAATACTCCGAGACGCAACTTCATTAACAAATCCTGTTCTTGTTTCATGGGAAAAACCTCCATCTCAGCGAACAGAAAAGACTGCTGAATGGGGGTTCGTTTGTCTTTTTTGGGCGGGTAGGGGGAGTACTCAAAATTCTCGAAGATAAGATGACTTGACGGCGTTCGGTTTCAGTGTTCATGGTGTAGCGGTGGTTCTGGAATTGCTGCGACTACTCGCTTCTCTCAAAGACTTTTCCAAGCTTCACAAGGATCAGTACTGGAGATCACTAAAGGTAGGGCTCTTCGAGTAATCTTCATCTGAAATTGTTCGGGGTTTTTTCAGTGTTGTTTCTTTGTAGGATCCTCGCCTTATATCGTTTCTTGCCTTTGCACTCGCATACGGTGACCACGAAATGGTACATAACGCACTGGTTATTTATACGCATTGCTCGCAATTGCAGGCTTTTCCAAGTCGATGGTTAGTTTTCGCATTTCTGTGCATTTTAAGATTCATTTTAATTCAAAACTAGTCCTCCATGCTGGCCTGAGAAAGCAGTAAGCGTTGAGTATGTGGTCGTGAGACATTCATATTGTCATTGGAGTCGTGAGTTGGCATTGGAATGGATGGTTGCGCAATACAATGAATGTGACCAGGACGTACAGACAGCCTGCTATATCCTCTCATATGCGGCCTCGTACTAATAAACTGCCCAGATGAATACGAAAGCTAGATTGATATGACGCCGGATTCTTATCAAGATTCGGACTCCGGCGGCGCTACTGCCTTTAATCTATATTGCCTGAAGCGTATAGTTAGAATCGCAAGTTTTGATGTATAATAACGCTAATATTCTGGTTTATCTTTATACAGGCTGGGCGATCTCATTGCATCTTGTTCCCAGTCCAGACAAAGTCAGTCGGATAGCGTGGTCTCACCAAATACCTCCAGCGATACGAGGTCAGTCCTTCATTTGTATTTTTTGAGGAAAACTTGGAAACTCGCAGAGTAATGAGAATTATTTCATTGGTGCCAGCACTCCTATGGAGGGAGTTCGCTAGGAAGGGGCAGATTTCGTTCATGCTGTCTACGCAGAACGCATTCTGACGTACTGCGAAGTTGGCTAGTTGATCTTACAAGTGGTCTGCGGGAGTCGCGCAGAGGAAGTCCCGAGAAAGTCGTGTTCCGCGGAATTGACCCTAGCGACAGGAAGTGCCCTGTTTTTGAAAAGGTCACTAAACCTACGAAAAGACTTGAGCACATATTGATTCGTTGATTCTGCCAAAAAGCTCCAATCAGCATGTGATTTGGAGAAATCAGGATTCTCCCCCTCGCTATGACTCCCTTATGCCAATCTCTCTCCGTAGGATATTCTAGCTGGAGGAAATGGTTGAAAAGTCCTGAAAGAATTCCTGTGGTCCAAATAATCCTCCTCATACAACTAGTTGTAATGTAGTTTTAATTTTAGTCAAGCTTAATTTCTCAGGTCAAGAAGCTGTGAACCGATGGATACAGCAGCTGCAGTACCTGCTGTGGTAGTGTCGCCCAGGAGAAGCTCCAAAGAAAATGAACGTGTATTGGACGAAGTATCTTCAGTAGGATGAAGAGGATTTAGTGGTTATGTGTGGGGAGTTTCAGTTTTCATATGCTTGATCTCAATTTTGAATCACCCGACTTTCTTTGCCCATTAGGGAAGGATGCAAAGAATCAGATGTTTGTTTCTCGACGTACGAGAAAGAAGATACTGTAATGGAGGTGACATGACAGTATATATGTCGATGGATAGCTTATAGCAGTTCAAGTTATTAGCTTCAGCGAAGAGAACGAGAATTGGAGTTGTTGCTATCAGCTAAAGATCAAGCGCTAGCTCAGAGCGAGAAGCTGCGCATCCAATTTCGAGGAGCAGGAAGTAACAACAATGACGTAGATGTAAGTTGTTTTAGTGTGATGACTGCTGTTTGACGCCCAGTTTGCGCTCGAACATCATCACAAGAGTCCGGAGATGAGGACGAAAGTCGGACTCCAGGCCGGACTCGAAGACGTATCGCCGCTGGAGTGGCGAGTGGCTTCCCTTCGAGCGGTTTCTTTGCAGTAACAAGTATTCTTTTTCGGATGGTGATTGCCGATTTCTGGGATATTAGCGTGGTCGGAAAAATGGCAGAGTCGAATCCTTGATTTCTTCTTTGAATTATTGGTGCGTGCATTGCATCGTCATCTAGAAAGAATTTTCGTAGCTTTTCACAATGCTGTAGCAGATTGTTGAATAGATTTAAGCCTCAGAAATTTACCTATTGCTTGTTGGACAATTTAGATGGCTCGAGTCCGGTCACTGGTATCAGATTGTGAAGCCTTGCGAGAAAAGAATGAAGCCGTTGCCAAGGAGCTGGAAGCAACACGACAACTACTGCAAGAGAAAACTGCTACGATGGAAGCTGAGTGAGTTTTCCTGCTAGTTAGATTTATGAGATACCGTATTGTCTCATGATTTTTGTCCTATTTTCGACATTTTCGTGAGTTTGAATTTTCCCTCTTCTTACTGAACATCTAATGAGCAGTATAATCAACACTGTTGTTAAAAGACATACGATCATTTGCTAATAAAGCAGGCACGGGACAGCTGAAAATTGTGCTCTCTCTAAAAAGGTCATCTGATGTCCGGTTTTTTGGTTAATCCTTTTTGAGGGACGTTCGTTTTTGTTAATTTTGAAAAACCAACTTCCAACAGCTCCAGCTTGCTTTTCGTTTTTCCCTGTATTCTTACCACTTCCTGGTGAATGCTACCGAACTTCCTTTTGTTTTGGTTTTCGAGGGACGTTTTCCGTGATTCGTCTTCTCTTGCTAATTTCTCCCCTCTGTTCTTTCTGCCTTCATTTTTTCACAGCTACTGCGGTGGGTACCTCAAGGTACACATTCCTTCGATATTATTTAAGTTTCATTGTCTCAGTCTCTCCCATTCTCTTCGTGACTTCTACATTTTTTTTGTTGAGAATATTGATTGATTAAACTGCACTAGTACTCCTGAAGTGTTCAGACTTGCAAGAGTGGTACAAGAACGTGATGACCTGGCGTCTGAGATCAGTCAAGAACGAGAAGTTGTTGTGAGTGCAAATAAGCTTGCTGATGATCTCAAGAAGAAGCTGGAGATGTGAGTAAAGTTGAAGAATTACAGAAGACTTGCATTCATATTGTTATGTCGCCATTTCTATCTAGTTGTTGGGATTTTCATAATACTTCTGGGACAAATTTGTAAGCTGATTCGGTTAAGTAGAGAATTAGGCTACTTTACAACTTGAGCCATTTAGTCGCACGGTTTGGGACATGGTCTGAGACCCAGTTGGGACATGTTCTGAGACCCACCGGTACTCGCTGGATCCGTGAATATTATAATTCCCCTCATCCAGAGTAAAACTTCTTTCGACTGTTGTGGCGATCGAATGATTAACGGTGATGCGCGGTCCAATGCAGTCGCGCCTTTCGCGAATTACTGGATTGAATCGAACTGAGATGTGATCTAGTTTTTTTGCTTGTTTTTGGCTTGGCGTTGTTGCCCGATGTTTCCAGGTAGTGGAGAAACTTGTCATTTTCATGGAGTAGAAGGAGTTTTTTGTATGTTAACGGAAGTGGCCCACTTGTGGTGCGCGCAGTCGGGGGTCAAATCCCGGATCTACTGCAGCCCAGGACAACTAAGCCTTTCGCCTTCCATAGCCATTTGATTGGCACCAGGACTGTCTGAGAGGATAAAAATGCAGAGCTTCAGATAAGTTGGCCTCCGCATGTCATTGTGTAGGCCATATTGCATACAATATAATACAACATAAATAGAGCCACTATGACTCTGAATGGAGGTAGAATGCGTGTCGCATCCTCAAAGGAGCTATTCAGTGGCAGTCTTTCATTTTCCAGCTTTTGTTTCGTTCATCTCTCAGTTTTGTTCCAGAGCTTCGGTGGCGCTTGTTGAACGTCAGAGTGAGCTGGCTACACTCAACCAAGAGAAGGCAAATCTCCAAGGATTGTTGAATAGTAAGTTCTTTCAGGCTTATTTACAAGCAACCTTGTACCGAAAGACTTTCATAACTAACTTCAAGGCTCAGTCGTCGAGGGGTTAGATTTGACTCATCGCGCTCTCGAGTGGGAAGGCTTAAGGCTGCCATGAGAAAAGCCAAAGAAATAAAAAATCTTTGACTGATTTCGGTGATTTTCACAGTTGATTTCGAAAGCTGTATGAGAACAGTGGGCAGAAACTGAGCGGTTGGATAGATCGTCTGTTCCATTTCATATATTATTTCCACTCTTATTACAAAAATCTCTGTTGATTTTCATCCTGTCGCTCTTGCTCGCGAGCCTCTATTGTTGCACAGCGACTTTTAGTATTTTGGGAGTATTCCGAAGTAAGTGGGTGTGGACCAGAACGCGTCACAGGCTCCAAACACCTTTGCACGTTTTGTCGAGGTGGCTAGCGTAGTACATTCTTTGCGAATGTGAGCCTTTTGTACAGGGAAAAA